AAAAAATCAGGACTGTACGGGATTCGAACCCCTGTGAAAAAAATTAGGTTCGAATCCCGTACAGGCCTGATTTTTTTTAGGTCTGATTTTCGCTATTGCATAAATAGCGCTCTCTACTGCGAGGATCGTGCATCATACGTATGTTAACAAAATGTTGACATGTCAAAAAAAAATGTTGAACCAAGCTCTAAAAATTAATAAGCTTCTTCTCCTTCAGAAACGGGTAATTCGTTTAATAAACTTTTCTCCAAAGTGTGAACATGCTATTCCTCTTTTAATTAATCTTAATATCCTTCCTGTTCATTTTATTTATGTCCAATCTGTTTCATGATGTGAATAAAATACTAGCTCCTCCCCGTATTCAAAATCTATATACCTATGTCTCAGATATACATTTCCTACAACACCAGATCAGCAACTACCAACAAATTTTATGTCAATTCTTCTCATCTGGAACAAGTTAAGAATTCTTTTTCCCACTTTGGCGTGTAGCTATGGAATGCCTTACCTGACATAGACTCTGCCCATAGAAATTTATTTAAAAAACAAATACATGAAATAGTTATTAATATCTTCAAACAACAAAACTTGTATCTTACACCATCGTCAATTCTTGAAATAATTAAAAATTTGTGAACCCCATCAATCCTCAGTATAACGAAGTCTCTTTCTATTTTCCTGTTATTATCATTAAATTAATTTACTATTTTAATTTTAATTTATTATTTATTGTAATTTGAACTACTGTTTCCTTAGTGTAATCTGAACTGCTGCCAATTCGATTGAAATCTTTGTAAGTACCAGTGATAAGTCCAACTTAATTATACCTACCCGCCTCGACTAGTTTTTAACTAATTGTGGGTAGGCATTTCTCAAATTGTAATTGTTGTAAATCAATAAATTGTTGTTGTTGTTGTTGTTTACCTCAGGAATTCGATTAATAAACGAATAAAGGTGAAACTATTCATATAAACTTTTTGATACGATCGTTTTGTTCTTAACATCCATTTTATCACGCGTGATTAACTTAATAACATTAGTAGGGCCAATGAATAAGTGCCACTTTTAATTGCCACCAGTTAAGGTAGGGCAAATTTTTCATGTTTTATATTTACACTTATACATCTTATTTGCTCTTCAAGTAAAAGCTCATCGTAACAAGAACGGTTTTAAGTCATTTTTTTAAGTAATAAAGAGGAGGAATATCTGTCTGTGGTTTTTTTTAAGAATCTTGATGATAAGGTTTTGCGTTTTGAAGAAGTGTAGCACTTCAGAAACCTACTTGAATGGGCGACTTTAGGTTACAGGTATATTTTTTTGTTATCCTAACATCAGTTGACTGAAAAGACAAAACTTTCCTTCACTCGTTTCTGTCATAAAGATTGTATCATAATTATTTAGTCATTTAATGAATACCTTGATGCTGTAATGATGATATTCCTGTGGACTGACCAGCTGCCCTGGACTTGCAGAGTATTTATCCTCGTTTAACAACTCACTTTGAAATTATCCGTCTGAACGTCGAGATGAGGCGACGTTTAACGAAGAGCATGGTGAATATTCCACGCAACTGAAAGCAAATTCTTTGTAGTTGCTCACAACACTCGATAAACCAACTGATAGTTGAAGACGATGGAAATTGTAAAATNATGGTAGTTATCTTGTTTTATGATGAACAGGAACAATATTGAAAACTATCTAATCGTAATCAAATGTTAGCTTTTCTGATAGAAACTCAATAAGACACCAGACACCGTGAAAAAGCAGCTCAATTTCGAAAGCCACACATGTACGCATTGCGGGCCTATTTTTGATTGTCTTGTTGAGCTCTTCTTTTTTTAAAGCTTCAATAATATTGTTTGCTCTATCTATATGATTTTAAAAGATGGAAAAACGATAGAGTTGACTCGAACTTGTCTCGTGACTCGAACTTGTCTCGTGACTCGAACTTGACTCAGGCTCCAACTTGACTCGTGATAACGGAGTTTTCCAAAAGAGATATACATAAGGCTCGACCAGGCAAAGAAATTAAAGAAATGGGAGGTTAAAAGTTCTAATTTTTATAATTCAAGAATTAAGTTTTATGAGTTCTGCCACAGGCTGTATGTACAAGATCAATCAAATATTGATATGCACATCTAGAATTTTTATTTGGCCTCGTCATACTTAATTTTTAACTATGGCCTCGTGCAACAATTGCAACAGACTCCCCGGTTAAAATACGTCTTCAGAGCAAAGGTATACATATCTAAATATGCGTTTCCTTTCTGGAACGAAATAAGATATAATTCAGCGAATGAAATACATTATCAAATAAAAAATTCATTCCACCGAAAAAACACATCTTTCTTCCATCTCCAGATTCTTTACAGACGCTTCACTGGAAACCGCGAAGATACATTTTGCATAAATCAAATAAATTCACAAGAGTTTGACTGTCTTTGGCATTCTCACAAATCTATCGTGATGCCTATTGCACTGTGGTTTGCTGATTATCTTATTACCTAACTCTGGAAAGTCTCCCCATATTTGTCGCTAGGCGCGTTTCTGAGGTGTTGATGGCGTCTTTGAGAAAGGCTCTTAAACCTTGTTCCCGTTCATCAAGCATTTTCTCAACATTTGTTCCCATGTGTTCCTCTCGTTTGTGCATATATGAAATTATGTTCATTATAATATGACACTCGCAACTCAGAACTCTGTCGTGATTCTTACTGCATTGTACTTTACTGGTGGAACAAACAACGCATTATTTGACAGTTTCTCATTACCTACCTCTAACAAGTCTCCTCACATTTGTCGCCAGGCGTCTTTCTAAGGTGCTCATGGCGTCCTTGATGAAGGTTCTCGAATCTTGTTCCCTTTTATGTAGCATTTTTTCCACAGTTATTTCAAACCGGGATTCTAGGGATTTGATGGCGTTCTTGGTGAGAATTAAGTCTCGCCAGATGGCGGAAGCCAGATATAGAACCCCCACAACAACCACAGCCGCGATCGTACTGTAAATAAACCATTCACTTTCTTCAATACAGCTGTCTAGCAATCTCCATAAGAGTCCAAATCTGTGACCGTTAGCCATCTGGTTTCTCACGACTCTTTCTTGATTATCAGTCATCGTGCAAAGCGAAAGCGGTAAAAAGACTTCAGCAAACGTAACGTCGTCGGTTACAATGCAGGCGACTTGTTAGGATGAGTTAACGTTACAACTTCTCCGAATACCGGCCTGCAAGAGAGGATGGTGGGGATGGGGGGGTAGGGGGAGGGGAAATATGTCCTGGGTATCAGATGTCAGATTTTTAAACAGTGAAGCTCAAATGTCAATCAGTTTCAAATACAGACAGTTAAATTCTTTGGATTAGAATAAAAACATAAACAGCTCGATCAATATGTTAGTTCTTTAATTCTCTTTATTTTCTACATTTTTACGTTAGCAAGCTGAGGGGTGCCTAAGAAAATGAAGGAGGCCACTAAGTAATGTGCTTCTGAATTATGGTGATGTGAATTGTATTTGGTCAGATGTCAAATATATTGGTGCGCATCTAAATCTCCGACCAATAACGACGAAGATCCTTAATGATGGATAATTGAAATTCAACATCAACGGTTTGCCTTTTTAATATCAAGGATTTTTTATCACTAAAGTCCTCGCGCAATAGAGGAGGTTATCGTATTTCAAACGCTTTCCCATAATTCCTCATCATTGCACCAAGATATATCCCATAGCTCTGATATAAGTGCCAGCATTTCCGCATTTACCGCTGTCTGCATGTAGCCCTCCCGCACCAAACCCGATTCTGGAATCGCAAGTATCGCAATCATTTTCATTGTTACCAAGAATGTCGATTCTAGCTTTGTCCAAATCAGAACGACCGCTGACCACATTGAACCCTTTCCTGTTTCAAAGAGGATGTAAGGCAGCCTGAGCACCAATAAGTGATAACTCAACAATACGATCCACTGAGGTGGAGCGATGGGCTCCTTCAGCGATCAATGAATTCAATGAACTGGCCTGTTTGGTTAAGACTATAAATCGTAACAACAACAAACATATGAAACATATTTATGAACTGCGGTTATGAAACGTTTATGTGTACGATATGTGCACTATAAATCGTGTTTGCTAATCGATTCTCATTCCCAGACAAAGTTTGCTGAGGGGCATGTTCCAATAGGTTCGTAACTTAGTCTCTTGGGAGTCGAACCCAGTTTCTCCCCTGGCTAGGTTGTATTCATTTGCGAGGTTCCAGTGGGAAGATTGGAAGTGAAATGTTTGCTAAAACAAACAAAGCATCAAAGAAAATCCAAAAGCAGTAAAAACTACACATAGAATAGGTAAATAGAGAGAAAATGGAAGGGAAATGGTGTTTCAGCTAACGATCGAAGGAGTGATGCATTTGCTTGATCAGGGTGCATCTGATATAGAAAATGGGCAACTTTCGGCGGAAATCGTTCAGAAGGAAAGTTTAACTTCAACTTTCATAATATTAACTGATATTGTGTACCTCCGATGTCTAAGCCGAAAATTTACTCTCTTTTTGTTGTTTGTATACATTAGAAACTATCAACAGTGTTGATCTTACCTGCGTACAGACGTATTTCACATATGAACTTAATGATTGTCTGCTCACCATAGAGTTCTACTGACTCATTATTAATAGATAGATAAATCATTGGGCCACGAAATGTAAAGGCCTGAGGTTTGAAGGAACGAGGGTGGCACAAAATAGTGTAAAAATACCACAAAAACTAGTAGCCCCCTTGCAAATTAATATTAAATGATAAGATTTAAGTAAACTCTAGAGAACTGACTACGACTCTTCTACAAAGTATGAAATCATGATAAATTTGAAGAAACAAAATTACAAAGTGAAATGATTTAAAAGCTACTGATCTCGGAAAATGCATGAAGTATTTTTTTTTCCTTTTTCTCATTATCTATTCCACTCCTGGGAAGCAATCACACTTTACTGTAAAAGTTCTTCATACTTCTGTTCTACGTTTAACGAATTCTTTGACCTTAGATAACAGTTATTACACAAAAAAAATCAACAAAGAATTGTTGTATTCATTGACAAAACCCTGGTAAAGGCGCGAACACTTTCGAAATACCTCGAGGTTGGTCTGAAAAGTTACTGGCGATTTTTGTTATCAAGCTAAGTTAATCGTGGATTAACACGTGTGGTGGATATGAACCGTCTGCAGTGTATGTATAGGGTCTCCGTTTTGTGTGATCAAAGCATTTGTAACAATACCGTGATCCACCAGACCAATACTCAATAGCGGCGCAATCAGAACATAATTGTTTACAATGCTCTAAGGTCACACCAGTTGTAATCCGTTCGCGATTATCACCACCACACCACTCTGGTGAATAGCTTCGCCATTGCCCTGCAGGTAAAAAAATAAAAATCGCCTAAAAAACCTTTCACTGTTTAAGTTGATGTTAGAACAAAGCGAATAGCACTTAAGTGTCTCATTAATTTCTATTATCGATCCCATCTCATACCATAATCCCTACAACCACCTTTGACTGGCACAACAACCTTCAACATCGCTGTAATCGCAATAAGCTAATTAGAAACATACCTACCACCATTCTCACAGCTGAGAATGTTAACAGCAATTTCACTAAAACAAAACTCCCCCTTTTATCTATCCATAGCTACTTTCATTACTATAAGCCTACCATTCATCCCGCCACCAATTCCAGTGCTAACATTCAAACACTACGATCCTTGCCACCCCATTCTCAATGCACCATCGGAACAAACCTTTAAAGATCTTATCATACCGCTCAAGCACCAATTCAAGCAACCATATGTGTAGCGAGAAAAAAGCTTACATCTTCTCTCGCATTGAGTTCCCTTATACTTCTTGTCGCATGTACAGACATATCCATTCACCTGATCAACACACGTTCCTCCGTTCAAACAGGGATTGCTGGAGCATTCGTTGATATCTGTGTGAAGATAGTTCCCAAAGATTTTCGATTGATTTTGAATTCACAAATCGACAAAGATCACCCATTGATAGTGAACATAAAAACATGGATCTGGCTAAATGCTCACCAGTTTGGCAGTTTTCTCCTCTATATCCAGGCTGACAGTTACAAATGTAGCCATTTACCTGGTCAACACACTTCCCACCGTTTAAACAAGGATTACTGGTGCACTCATCCATATCTATTGCAGTAATGGATTAAAAAGAAAACATCGACTCGTTACAAGGTTGCACATTTAGGAAGTATACTTTTGGAGTAAAAAAAATATATGAGAGTAAAAGAGACCAGATAAAGCTTAAGCAAAGCACTTACTCGTTTGGCAGTGTACTCCTGCATATCTAGGCCGACAGGCACAGACATATCTATTCACAAGATCAACACACGTCCCTCCGTTCAAACAAGGATTACTGGAACATTCGTTGAAATCTGCCCCACAAGAAAAAGGAAATAATGTTTAAACAATACACCACACTTTCTATAACTTTAACGGAGGCGAGTAAATTACAAACGTTTTGATTGTTCTCCCAACATCCCAATTGGTTTGTCATCCTATGAAGTGATAAAAAATATAGTATATTGCCTTTATGAATTGACCACGGTTTTACCTGTGATATTTAGTGTAACATTCTTTTATAAAAGGAAACAATAAACCACATGCTGATAAACCCCATACAAGCTATAACGTCTTACCAGTTTGGCAGTTGGTCCCCTCGTAACCAGGTTGGCAGTTACAACGATATCCATTCACGTGATCAACACACGTCCCTCCGTATAAGCAGGGATTACTAGAACATTCATCGATTTCTGCGAGACATGAATCAAATCTTGGTTCTGCATTTGTTTAATTATTTTAAATCTAACCAACGGTTTGTTTTGTTTTACTACCTTCAGTAGTAAAAAGTGTGAAGCTGTAAAGTTGGATTACTTTACAAGTAATCGATCCAAACCAAAACTATTTTGCAATAACTCACGTTTTCAGAGACGTCAGAAACATCTATATCTAGAAAAGATGAACATTACATCACAAATTTTTCTCACGTGAACTTCTTAAACGTCCTCTAGAGACTGTCACGGTCATTATTTCTCTCCTGGGGATAATGGAGGGTCAAGTATTTCCAAGCTATTCCAAACACTTCCAGAGTTTATCAAAAAATAACGAGAGGAGCATAAGAGGCCTAAAGTGTTGGAACAGAGAGAGGGTTCCGCAACAAGCCTTGTACAATATAAAGACTTATTAGTCCCATGAAATACAAAAAAAGAAAATTTTATATTTCATTGTCTTTACTCACCGAGGACAGTTAAGATAGCAGCTGCTGTGACTGTCCCAAGTACGTTTTCAGCTACGCAAGTGTACCCTCCATTGTCTCTTGCGGTCACGTTTTTTATCAAAAGAACAGAAGGCAACTGATTAACTCGTTTGGCGCCGATTAAAGTAGAATTCGGTCTCAGCCATGTTACTTTAGGCTCTGGGTTTCCTTTCGCAAGACACTGAAACGAGGCAGTCTCAGTTTCCTTTACCACTAAGGAGACAGGAGGTGCCACGATGCTCGGGGCGGAGATAGATTTACCAGGATCGCCCTTAACTCCAGGTGGACCCATAGGTCCTGAAGGTCCTTGAACCCCTTGGAAGCCCCGGCTTCCCTTCGGTCCCTGACTTCCCTGGGGTCCTTGGTTCCCCTTTGGTCCTTGGATTCCCGGTGGCCCCGGTGGTCCACGTTTACCTGGAGGGCCTCTGTTACCAGGCCTTCCTCGTCTCTTTTTGACACTCTGAGGACATTGCATGGTACATACTAAGCTTCTCAGAACAATCCCCAATTTCTTGACATTTTCATTACTGATGGTCTGACTGGATTTTGGATCCACTGTTGTATTTTCTAAATTGCGCCTCGGTCTTATGTGCATTTCTGAAATAATTAATAAAAATAAACAAAGGAATTATTAATAATAAAAAAGGACGATCGAGACAGATAAATTGATAGTTAGATAGATAGATTAATTCATAGAGCAACAGACTCATGAATACTTGCTGATCAGTGTCATCGAACATGTCTGTAGTATCAGATCGCCTACATTATTTTTTAACACTCCTAAAAGGAGTGTCCCCGCCGGCTGCGTGTGTGGACGTCGACAGTATGAAGCAAATCCTGTGTTCTGATTGGCTACCCGAGCGGCAAGATGAGCTAGTCTTGCCCGCTTGAAATCGCCTGCCTTGATCTCGCGCAAGACAAAGGTTGCTTGGAGCGGACTTACAAAGTCCGTAAGTTTTGGACAGTGACAGCGATGGAGTCCCCCCCAAAAAAATAGGAGCAAAGAAAACATTACACGGCGCTACAAACAGGGTTCGATTTGTTTTCCGGCTCTCGAATATAACAAATAATTTTTTATTATTATTATCATGAAATCTTTTTGCTACATAATAAACCCTTTATAGACCAAGCTTGTTTGGTCTAGATGGCGGGATATTCGCCTGGCCTTAGTTGTCAAATGAGAACATGCTTGTTAACTGAGTTTGGTCGGACCAGACTGGGAAGTATTTGGCTCTCGGCGATGAAGCACGAACCTCACTGTGCTCGGTCCGTACGTCATGACCTCGAGCCAAATATTCTCCCGTCTGGCCCTCACACCGGTAAATAAGTACTTATCAGCTTGATGGGTTTTCCTCTACTATGTCTATTACGTGGTGCTTAAGCATGTAACTTTCGCCTTTTTGGTTTGTTTGTTTTTTGTTTGTTTTACTTTCTCTTCCATTTTCTTTTGTTTTGTTTCGCTTGCCCCTTAACCCAGTGATCCATCTGTAAAATTAGCCTGGACCTGAAGTAAAAATCAATACGCTACGTTTCATCTCAAAACTTGAATTCGTTTACGCTTCTTTCATACGCTTTATTGGAAGACGAAATGTCCATTGAAACAAATAATAACGACAAAAAATAAAATGCACAATTCACTGAACTTAAGAATTTTAATCATCGTAAGGTGTTTAATATGGCACGAACCTATTCCGCTTCATACGATAAATCAAAATTCGTTCTTGCATTTGGGTCTCCCGCATTTCATAAATGATAGGATAACTTTTTACATTATTATCTTGTCTCACTCACCTTTGTCTGAAAAACTATGATGCTGAGTCTGTATCAAAGGACTGATTTTATCGGATGTTGAACTTTCCTGCTCGAGCTTTTCTGCTTTCGGTTGCCAGTGTTCAAACATTTTTCGATGAGCGTGAAGTTCCATCTCGACGTGAATCAGTCCTGCAAAGCAAATTACGGATAGGAACAACGATGACAACACGACTGTTTTGGAAACAGAACCTCCCTTTGAAATTTCCATTGTATTTGGGTGTTTACGAGTGAAGAGAAATTCTTGGAATGAAGAATCGTCTCGAATCGTCTGAGATACGGCAAGATATGGGTGTCTTCGGTCAACTACAGAGTTCCGTCCTTGCTTGACCCATCTGGCGCTGTTTCCGGTATCGCTTTCATCTTGTCACGTTTCAAATATTTTTATTCTTCCCCTTACCTCAATGTCACGAAGCGGCTCGCTAAAAACAAGGGCTTAACAAGAAAAAAAAAAGAAAGAAAAACTAGAAAAGCTTCACTAATTAAATATCAATAGTAGATAAGAACGAAAGCAAATTAAGGAAAAGTATATTTTTCGAGTTTGTATCACTGGTTCGAGTTGAAGTATCCATTATAAGTTTGACTAATAATGACAGACATGACATATTTTGACAGTAAACTATATATCAGTTTGGAAACTGGAGCTCAAACGTCAATCAGTTTCAAGTATATCCAATGCAAATCTTTGGATTAAAACAAACACATAAACAGCTTTTTTTTTTATTTTCTCGTTTTCACCTTAACAAGTTGCGTAATGCCTTAAGAAAATGCAGGAGGCATGGTGATGTGAACTCTATTTGGTGAAATATCAAATATATTGATGCGCACCTAAATCTCTGACCGATCACTGCGAAGATCCATAAAGATAATTCAAATTCAACGTCACAGGTTTGTCTTTTTAAAATCACGGCATCATGTTTTGAATAGTCCCGAGGTTGTCTATCACTAAAGTCTTCCGCGTAATCGAGGAGGTTATCGTATTTTCCCACGCTTTACCAAGATGTATCCCATAGCTCCAAGGTGAGTGCCAGCATTTACGCATGTATTGATTCTGGTATCAGAGAGAGATAGAGAGAAAAAGCTTTATAGAGGGTAGCACTTAATAGCTAGAGGCTAATGAACTTGTGGCACTTAGAACACTCACCCATCCCACCCCAGGAGAGATCCATCACACAGTAATCTCGTGCGTGGGAAATTAACATCTCCTACCCCTAACCCTGCAGGAGACGGGACCTATGGTTTATTCGTCCTTATCCGAGAAAACTAGAATATCTATCCATTTCTTGATTTTATAGAAAGTTCGCAAATTCTCCTCAGTTATTTTAAGACCCCGAGTGTTAGTCCGGCCGAGGCTTGAACCCACGACCTCCCGCACAACAGTCCGGTGCTCTACCAATTCAGCTAACCAGGAGGCGGTTAAGTATATGACTTGCTATTGACAACTACTTACGGTGAAATTTTCTGACATTTGAATTAAGACAAATATCATAGAGAAGAAAAACATAAAGAAGTTCAGCGAGGCGAGAAATAGCCATTTTAAACTGTTCCTCTGGCTAGATAACACTGCATTCCATTTAAGAATAAAGTCTGATTAGAATGTTCAAGGAAGGCACTTAAAGGCCGGCCCGTGACTCCACTTGTAAGATAACTATTATGTCTTTGAAATAAATAACATGCAAGTCCTTTATTTCTAGTTACCAAAGGCACATCACGCAAATTCGGAGAATTTCTATGGCGTCAGTCTTTTCCAGTGCTAAATCCATTCACCAATCTTTTCTCGCCGCTTGGACAACAGCGAGTCTGCTAATCCAAAAGAAAGAGCAGCGCTATGAGCTAGTTCGCGTGAGTAGCGCGAAAACTCGTACCAAGGGACCTCTATCCTTGAAAGATCCAAGTCACGCCCACAGGAACGTGGTTACAAAATAAAAATTTCTGAGAAAATGTTACAAATTTCGGTTTATTCGACGATAAGATGAGGAAATTTCTCAACCGGCTGTCTTTGGCTAAGAATACTTAAAATAACCGTTATGCCCAGACACAAACTCGTTCAGAGGCTTCTAGAAAACAACAAAATAAACAGAACAAATAAAAAAGGAAACTTTATTTTCCCATTATTTTCTGTAGAGCGTGCTCTTAAGATAAATTTACCAATTCAAAATTTAAATTTCAAAGAATAAAAAAGAAAACAGAAAAAGACAAGATCTGAAGAATAACTAACTCAGATATGAAAACAGTCTCGTGAAGCAATTGTTTTTCACTTTGTCATCATCAAAACCATATCCACCGATAATAATGTTTCATTAATGAATAACTACTAACACTTGCTATCTATTATCTGCTTGAACGGATTTTGCTTGTTATTTTAATGACGATGGTGATGATAGGGTTGCCCCCGATATAGTCTCTATTTGATTTATTCGAAGTGGCATTCACGCGTCCCTTCACATATGAATCCTGCTAATGGCATATAGACGTGGCATTCCACATTGTTATATCGCCCGTAGTCATGTCTATAATCCTTGTACATTTCCACGCAGTTTTGGCGACGTCCCCAGTTGCTGGGTTCTCCTTTAGCCCAGGGCCATTTACCCTTGGAGGACGCTTGCACTGTGCTGTTATCACTTATCCATTTCCACTCTCCAGTTTGAAAATCTCGCCGTAAGCCTATGAAGTACTCCATGGTTTTCAAAGTTTGAATAGTTTGCCTTATAAATAACCATTCCTCGTGACTCTCGATAGAAACAAGGTCACATCCAGCCTTCTTGCACTGTCGTCTGCTTCTTAACCAGCTGGTTCTCCAGTCATTCTGAGACATCCGGAAGACGTAACTGGAGTTCCCGTACTTGTATAAGTTACCTGAGCGTCATAAATCGAATATCAAATAAGCATTCATCCTCGCTAGTGAGCTGCAATTTTAGAAATTGCAGAAAAAAGAAGTCTGAGAAAAAAATACAGGCTTCGACTGGATTCGAACTCGAGCCTTCCAAACATTAGAAGGGGGCTACTACCAACTAAGTTACGAAACGACCAATCAATCGATAAACCGATTAGTCGATCAATCGATCAAACAATCAGAAAAAGGAAAGGCGAGACTTATGCCTAAATATGAACTAACAATGTTGTTGGATAATTGCGAAAATAATAGCAAGGATTGATTAGACTGATTAGATACTCACTGGTTTGGCAATGAACTCCTCCGTATCCAAGGTGACAGTTACAGACGTAACCATTTACTTGGTCCACACACGTCCCTCCGTTTAAACAGGGATTGCTGGAGCATTCTTCCATATCTTTTGCAAAAATTTAATAAGGAAATTTACACCCAGAAGAAGAGGTAAAAACAAAGAGAAAAGAGATGAAAGAAAAAAATATATACGAACAGCAAAATAAAATGATACGCACTCTTTTGGCAGTGCACTCCTGCGTATCCAGGCTGACAGGCACAGGCATATCTATTGACAAGATTAAAACACGACCCTCCATTCAAACAGGGATTACTGGAACATTCGTTGATATCTGCCACACACAAGAAAAGGAAACAATAAACGTTAAAACAATAGAAGGCAATTTCTATCAATTTACCGGTGTAGTCAGTATCCATGTGGGATGTCGACAGAACTCGAGAAAGAAATTGCCGGAGGGGAGTGAATTACAAACTTTTTAAGTGTTCTCCCAATATTACGGCGGTACACAGATAAAAAACGCGGCAATTGATTGAATAAAAAAATAACCTGCTAATAAATCCAACGGCGATAACTTCTTACCAGTTTGGCAGTTGTTTCCTTTGTATCCAAGCCGACAGTTATAAACATATCCATTCACCTGATCAACACACGTCCCTCCGTTCAAACAGGGATTACTGAAACATTCATCAATTTCTGCAAGACATAAATTAAATCTTAGTTGTTTGTTTCTTAAATTTTCTCACAGAAAAGTGAGCATAAATCTAACCAAAAGTTTGTTTTGTTTTACTACCTTCGGTAGAAAAAGGTGTGAGGCTGTTAAGTTGGATTGCTCACACACTCATATCTCCACGAGAAAGAGATCTAAACGCAGATTGTTTCGATAATTCCCGTTTTCGGAGACGTCAGGAACATCCACAAAATGATGGGCGCTACATCACAAATTTTTTTCTCAAGTGGACTTCCCTGATGTTCTCTAGCGACGGTCATAATTTATCTCCTGGGAGACGGGGCTTTCGGAAGATTTTGGTTGCTTCACGACAAAACTAGAGAGAGTGATTCAAAGCGTTTCCCAACACTTCGAGACATAAAAAAATATGGAGAGGAGTATAAGAGCCTAAAGTGGTTGCATGATGGAGAGGGTTCTGCATCAAAATTGCCATAGCGTTAAGACTTATTAGTCCCTTGAAATATGAAACAGAAACCTTTCTAATTTACCCACCGCGGACAGTTAGGGTGGCAGCTGCCATGACTGTCCCAAGAATGCTTTTAGCTACGCAGGTGTACGCTCCATTGTCTCTTGCGGTGACGTTTTTAATCAACAGACCAGAAGGAAATTGATCAACTTGTTTGCCGCCGATCAAAGTGGAATTCTGTCTCAACCATGTTACTTTAGGCTCTGGGTTTCCTTCAGCAAGGCATTGAAACGACGCTGTCCCACTTTCCCTTACTACTTGAGAGGTTGGAGGTGCCACAATACTCGGGGCCGAGATAGATTTACCAGGCTCGCCCTTAGCTCCAGGCGGGCCTATAGGTCCTGAAGGTCCCTCAATTCCATGGGGGCCTCGGCTTCCCCTCGGTCCCTGACTTCCCTGGGGTCCTTGGTTCCCCTTTAGTCCTTGGATTCCCTGTGGGCCTGGTGGTCAACGTTTTCCTGGAGGGCCTCTGTTGCCAGGCCTTCCTCGTCTCTTTTTGACACTCTGAGGACATTGCATGGTACATACCAAGCTTCTCAGAACCATTCCCAGTTCATTGCGGAAGGTCTGACTGGATTTTGGATCCCCTGTTGTATTTTCTAAATGGCGTCTCGGTCTTAAGTGCATTTCTGCAATAATTGATGAACGAATAGAAAAAATAAATTGACAAATAATAAAACAAAGGAATTATTAGGAATTATTAGAAAAAAATGGATAAAAACGATCGAGATCGAAAAACTAATAGTTAGATAAGGTCCTAATGGGGCAGTCAAGTCGACGGTGACGGTGAAAAATAAGCCCTTTTGATGATTGAAGGTTAAATTTCAGGTCATTTGACGGTTGACGATTAACCAATTAATTTTGGAATGTCGTTTTTAAAAGAACTAAACTCACAAAATTCGGGATTCTTGGACAGTGACGGTGATCGAGTCACAAAAAAGCGAGGAACAAAGAAACATGAAACGGCGCTAAATACACTTTTCGATTTCTTTATGGACCTCGACTTAGTCTCAGTCCATAAAAACGCAGCACGAACCTCACCACGCTCGGTCCGTGCGTCATGGCCTAGAGCTAGCCAAATATTTTCCCGTCCGGCCCTCCAACACAGTCAATAAGTACATATCATTAGCTTGATGGGTTTTTCACCATAATATCTATTACGAGGTGCTAAAGCATGTAACTTTTTCGCTTTTTTATGTTTTGTGTATACCGTATTCTCTTCCATTTTCTATTGCATGTGTCGTTTTGCTCGATCCCTTGACCCCCGTTGCAAATTTTTTAGTGTTTACTGCGTGAAGCATGTAGCCTGGAACAGTAGTAATAGTAATAGTAATCAAAGTTTAATGTCTTTACGAGGGACATGGTTACCCATATTGCCCGAGCCAGAGGCTCATGTATGAAACGCAAGACAACAACCCACCAATCCCAAGCCGGGGGAGGACATCCATCACACAGTGGAATTTGACGTCTCCTACCCCTAACCCTGCAGGAGACGGGACCTCCATTTATTCGTCCCTATCCCAGAAGACTAGAATATCTAAACCATTTCTTGATGTTATAGAAAGGCAGCATACTCTTCTCATTTATTTTAAGACCTTGAGTGTTGGTCCGGCCGGGGCTCGAACCCTCGACCTCCCGCTCATCAGTCCAGCGGTCTATCCATTGAGCTAACCGGGAGGCGGTTTTCACAGAGTCATGATGTTATGTTTCCTCTCCAACACTGAATTCGTTAACGCTTCCGGGAATAAAAGAAACACGAAATATCCATTGAAATAAATATTTACGTCAAAAACGAAAACGCATAACTCACTGAACATGGGAATTTTAATCTTCTTAACGTGTACATGTTCAACATGGAGTCCAAATCACCTTTGTCTGAAATACTAGGACGCAGAATCTGCATCAAATCACTGATTTCATCGGATGTTGAACTTTTCCGCTCGAGCTTTTCTGCTTTCAGTTGATTCAAGGTTTGAAGCATTTGACGATGAGCGTGAAGTTCTATCTCGACGTGAATCAGTCCTGCGAAGCAAATCACGGATAGGAACAACGATAAAATCACAACTGTTATGGAAACAGAACCCTTTGTCATTTCCATTGTATTTGGTTGTTCGCGAATTGTGAGAAATTTTTGGAATGAAGAATCGTCTCCGTCCAATCGTCTGTGATACGACAAGATATGGATGTCTTGGGTCAACTGCAACTGACGCTGTTTCCGGTATCGTTTTCATCTGGTTACGTTTTAAATATCTTTATTCTTCGACTTAACCTATATGTCACGAAGTGCTGACTGAAAACAAGGTCTTTGAAAAGAATTAAAATAGGTTTCAAAATCGCTTTAAGACCAATGGATAGGTAAGAGCGTAATGCAAATAAAAGAAAATATTACTTCAAGGTTTCATATCACTGTCAAAGTAACCATGCAGTTTGACTGAATAACAACAGACGTAATTTTAAAGTAAATCATATTTTTGAACACTGAAGCTCAAATGTCAATCAGTTTCTAGTATAATCTTTGGATTAAAATAAAAACATAAACAGCTCAATATGTTTCTACTTCAATGCTTTTTATTTTCTACATTTTTACGTTAACAAGCTGAGTAATGCCTAAGAAAATGCAGGCGGCCATTAGTAATGGGCTTCTGGATAATGTCGACGCGAACTGTATTTTGGTCAAATGTCAAATATATTGATGCTCATCCTAATCTCTAGCCGATAACTGCGAAGATCCTTGAGGACAATTGAAATTCAACGTCAAAGGTCTGCCGTTTTAATTTCAAGGAAATTTGAATAGCCTGACCGTGGTTTTTTATCATTAACGTCATCCGCGTAATCGAAAGGCTCATCGTATTTCAAACGCTTTCCCATAAATCCTCATCACTGCACCAAGATGTATCCCATAGCTCTGATGTGAGCGCCAGCATTTCCGCAAGTATTGCCGTCTTCATGTTCCCCTCCCGTACCAAACCCGATTCTGCTATCACAAGTAATGCAATNTTCTCTGAGTTTGAAAAGCATAAATGAGACCCACGCGTATCAATTCAGTGGGCGTGCAAGTAATCAGCCATGTGTAATTTTGGTTTTATTTTTCATTTGTCAGCTGGTAGAGCGGGCATTTTTCAAGGAAGATGACCGATTCCACGAAGGTCTCAATGGTGACTACGTTGAATTTATTTCCGTTAGGGGAAAAGACAAATTTTTAAGGTCAATCACTTTTACGACTGACGGTTAAAATTTGTCAATTTTTACGGTTAATAGCTAAAAATTCTTGCCGTTTACTGCTAACGGCTAGTCCTATTTAGACCCTCTTCCACGGGAAACCACACCAAAGCTTTGAATTCTAGGAAGACGTTCAACCTCGTCTTTAAGAAGCGGGAAAAACAGATGTTTAAGCGCCCCCTTCCCGTCTCTGTGAAAACCGTCTTCCCGCACACAGTGCCTCTGCTTGAGGGTCTCTTTTGCAGCTAATGGTTAAAATTCGGGCCAATTTACGGTTAATGGCTAATATCTTTCCACTGTGGTCACCAGAAATCTTATAACAGCTAACTTCATTTTACCCTGCAAGCAGAGCCTTTTTAACCCGTCCTCGAATCGAAAAGGGAAAAAGGCTCTGCCGACATCCTGTTGTTGCTCGTTTGAACATGCGCGGCGGTTGCCTACAAACTGATCCTTTTCCAGGCCCCCCTTGAACTACTGAGGGCGCAGATTTGGTCATCTGTGTACATGAAAAATAAAGGCGTGCGCACTAAAACCGGTTTGACTGGAGGCAAAACCAGCTTGAGTAGCTCGGAGTTTTGGGCTTTCGGCATTTCAAAGCAACAACAGGATTTCGTCAGAGCCCTTTCCCTTGGAGGGTTAAAAAGAAGAAAAGAAGAAGAAAAGAAGAAAAAGCTCTGCTCGCAGGGTAACTTCATTTATAACTAACGGTCAAAATTTGTCAATTTTTACCTCATACAGCTAAATATTTCGGTCGTTTTACGGTTAATGGTAATTAGGATTAACACCATTGAGACACTCCTACTTCTTTCTAATACCCGCCAAGACTAGCTAATGCTATATGCGGGTTGTGTAAATTTGCTTGTAATGTTCTGTAAAATAATAATAAACAACAAACAAACAACAAACAAACTCCTACTTCTTTTGGAACGAGAGTTGCGTCAAATCCCAAAGAACAGCTGCAAAGGAGATTAGAGGATGTCTATTCGCATCTCATTCCTTGTAAAGCCCCTCCTTTCAGGTTTCTAGTAGTAGTAGTAGTAGTGAACTTTATTTCTGTGTCGTGAAAACCTAGCGCATAGCACTAATTGGGGACACAGGGTAAAAGCTTTAAAAATAAGAAATCTGGAACCTATTTACAGAATTATTTACCTAACCTATTAACAGTTAAAATTATTTATCAATGTCCCGGAGTTAAAAATCAACTATTACAGAGCGCACATTTTTTGCATCCATTATCAATCATGACAGTCATTTCCGTTCTCCTGATTTTGCTCTTAAATCCGTGCAGGCTGTCTTCACTGCGTAACTCTTTTGTGAGTTTCGACCAGAGGAGAGGGCCATAGTATCTTATAGAGTGTTTACCATATTTTACTCTCTCAGAGATGGATGGCAGATTACGGCTGGGAACGAATCAGTAACATCGTGGCGCATAGTTCTTAGGCAGAAGCCGCTGACGAAATTATCTCTTCAAAATCGCTCAAAACAGAAGCATATGTCATGTCAACCCTGTGATGTCTTTCCTGGAACTAAATGTCACCTAATGGTCGCTATCTACATGTAGTGGCTTCTCCATTTGTGTCATTATGGAATGCTTTGTATTTCGTGTTTGTGACGTTGTTGTGGTCAAACTTGTTTGGTCGTAAAAAGGAAGGGATCAAGTCGAGAAGGGCGCGTTACTGGAACCGAACTACCTACATGGCCTCTCGCTCCCCTCGAGATGGAAAACGTCCTTGCAAATCTCAAAGCTCTTTTGATGAATTCGAAGATGATTTACCAAAAGATATCGCTCATCTTCGGGCGTATCATAAGCAAGCTTATGGCTACATTGCAAAGGCTTTAGAAATCGACGAAGAGGGAGGTTAGAATTACTTACTTTCCTTTTACGTGTGCATGTACTTATACTGAAGAATATGTGCATTGAATCGTTGTATATGCAGCCTCTTTCCCAGTAGCAACCCATTTCGAGTACTGCTATTTAAGAAATGAGCACAGATTTGTTCTCGATTAGCTACCCTGCCAAGATCGTTGGATAATAATAAAGTTCAATTTTGTAATTTTTTTTTTTACATGAATACTAATATGATCGCCATTATTCAAAGGGGGCCTGTCATCGAAGAAAAGAGCTGTAGAATTCTACAAAAAAGGAGTTTATGAGTTGGAGACAGGACTTCTGATTAATTGTGATAGAGAAGGTGTGGTGTTTCAATTTATCAACTTGTCTAATAAGTTACTTTACACTTGCACACCAATGTGCACAAAAAGTCTCAAGCCTGGGAAGGGAGGGGGGGTTGGGGGGAGGGGGTATCACCAAACTTGTGTCATCACACATGCATTACCAATTGTGGTGTGGTTTCTCCAGTTTTGGTGTATGTAGTTTGAATGTTAGTAGTGGTTATATGAGGTTGATATATCACAATTTACACTTTCTTTGTCCTAACCTGGGTAACAATAGGAACATGAATGGATTTTTATAAATAGGGTTTGGGATCAAGCTGACCTGGGTGTTTTCCCCCTCCCCCCTCCCTCAGAGGAGGACAAAGCTGTCTGAAACCTTTTTAAGTTTTCCTTTCTTACGTCCCTCATTGAACAGTTTTTAATGTAAACTATACTTGATTTACAGGAGAGGAATGGGAAAAAGCCAGAAAACTTCAAGATAAAATGAAATCAAATCTGGAAAATACAAGAGAAAGATTAGATGAATTAGGTAGGTTATTGAAGTGCGTTTGCACATAATATTATCATGATAGTCTTAACTGAGGAATTTGGTCATGATACAACTGATCATAGGGGTATACAGATTCTGCTATCAAAAAGGGTAAAGCCTAGTTCCCACTAGCGACATAACGATCATAATCATAATCATAAGCACAAACATAAACATAAGCTTCTTATGTTCCAGTGGGAACGACGGCTATAAAAACGTAAAGAATCTGTTGCAATGCCTGTTTCTGTTGTTTACACGTCCGCTCTAAAAATGGTGCCCATGCTTTATGTTGCGTTGATGTTACAGCTGCTGGTATTGGTGGCTCGTAAAACGCTAAAGGGGGGGAACATCTCCGCTATCGTATTGTTATCATTCACTACATCTTACTTCTGTTACTTCTCCTCTCTCGACGTTCTCGGGCTAGAGAAAAACGAGCAAAGGGAC